AGATGAAGGTTTCATAAGGATAGAAATGCCAAAAATGAGAGTGGGTTCAAACCTCCTGGAGTAGCTGTGTCCTGCTCCCTTTGGGGAAGGGATTTCTGGAGCAATCAAAGTTTTTATCCTGGTCAGTGATTTTTGGGGAAAGTGTGTGAAGCCAAGCCATAAAATAAAGCAATCAGAACAAGGTAAAGAAAAATCCCCCAAAATCAACACCAGCACCAAAAAACCCCATTAAGGACAAAAAGAGCAAAACAAAAAAAGCCGTGGCCCAGCTCCTTTCCTTCAGATCCTTTGCACTGATGGTTTTGTAGGATACCAGCTTTCAGTTCTGGTTTGTTCCCCACCAAATCACCCCTCTGATTTGTTCCTCCCTCCAAATTTGTTTACATTTTTTGCAGATTGGTGTTTCCTTTTCCATCAGTCCATACCTACATTCAGGTACTGCTTCTCCCATTTATTTTAACAGGTGACCCAATCCCAGTCTGGGGCACTTCTCATCCTGAAAAAGGTCAAGTCACAAACACCAGAAATAATTATTTTGCTTTTTTAAGTAAGATGGAAAAAGAGGGAGAATAAGAGAGGAACTAATTCCCTACTCGGTTTTAAGACAGCAAAAAGTTAAGTCAATTTAGCTCCTTGTGCTAATTAATACTCCCAAAGAGCTGTAAAATGTAACAACAGGGAGGATGAATTATTTAAAGTGGAGGTGACCAAGAGAAATCTGGATGAACACGATACTGCCTCTACTTTTGGTTTTCAGGCAATAAATTGCATTAAAAATGGTGGCAATGTATTGAAGATTTTGGTAAAACTTTGTTCTCAGCTGTAGGGAGTTGTGTTTCTGTAGAGATTTCCTGTGGTGCAGGACAGGGAAGGCAGGGCAGGAAGGGTAAATTAGGGAAAAAAGAAGATTTTAATCCCAAAGAGATAGAAATGCCTGGTTTAGCCCCTAACTCTGGATTTCTAGAGAGAAAACAAATGGTGGTAGTAGGAGTAGTAATGCACTGAATTTATTTATTCTGTAAATCAAGAGCTGGGTATTTTTCTTGCTCCTTTGTGAAGGAAAATTATAGAAATCTTTTCAGTGCTTCAGGGGATTGATACAGGTTACATTCCTGGCTTTCAGTCTAGTTTCTCCCTCACCAGCCTTTGGAATTCAGTGGGACTGATGGATTACATCATTTCAGGAATTAGGCCCTAAATTCTGATGTCTACAAAACATAAAAGAGCTTGCTTGAATTGTGTATATTTTCCCCTCAACCTGCAATATATTCCTTGAAAACAATAGAAAAAAAATTCATATAAAGTTGTCTCTTTATTTGGAGGTACTTTAATATCAGAGGAGATTTGCTTCCAGCTAAGAAAACATTTGTTACAGAACTAAAAATGTTTGATATGCTGCTGTATTAGATAAAGTTTGTTAGCTCACAGTGGCACAGTGCTGATAATTGAAGAACTCGCAGGATTTTCAGCAGTAAAAGATCCCCAGTGAGTGCTGAGCTCAGTGGGAAAATGTGATGTATAAATCTGCGGTGAGAGCAGAGGAACAGGAGGGGAGCAGCTCTGCACAAACCCTGGGAGCCCCACACCACCACCAAAGGACGTTAAAGAGAAATAAAAGGGAAGAGATGATATCTTGGGGCATAAAAGCTGTTTCCAAAGAATTTTCTTGTTAAATATAATGTTGGACAAGTGCCCACGGAAATTCTCAACTCACTGGAGACTCCTGCTGTCGCTTGGCATGGTCTGGTCTAGTGGAGGAATCAGCCTCTAGCCCTGTCCTGGAATACCAAATTCCATGAGAAGTGGTCACTGGAGATACTGAGAGAGATGGGAAAAGTCTGGGCAAGACAACCATGGCCAAAGTTGATGGATAAATTGGGTTTGTGTGATGGGATGAGGAACATCAGCTTGTGAAGAACTGATGGCTACGATGAAGGTTTGTTATATCCGAGGTTAGCCAAACCTGGATGATTTCAGAAGGAATAATGAAGGTTTGTTTGTCACTATAGGACACAAAACAACACAAGCGCACACCGCTGCTCTCAAGGTGAAGAAAAGGGGAGTTTAATTTCTGACTCCAACATTTACAGTTTTCCAAAAGTGACAGTGGATTGGAGGGTGACAGTGCCACCTCTCCAATGACACTGGGCAAACCAACAGTCCATCAAATTTCTCCTCCTCCATAAAAGAATGCAAAACAATGAGTTATTTACAGAAAGTGTGTCAGAAAGTTTGCTACAAGAATGTAAACATCAGAAGACTTAGAAAATCCTAAAAAATCGGGGTGACACTTGTTATATCCCAAGTTACCCAACCCTGGATGATCTCAGAAGGAATGATGAAGGTTTGTTATATCCCAAGTTATCCAAACCTGGATGACTTCAGAAGGAATGATGAAGGTTTGTTATATCCCAGGTTAGCCAAACCTAAATGATTTCAGAAGGAATGATGAAGGTTTGTTATATCCCAAGTTGGCCAAACCTGGGTGATTTCAGCAGGAATTATGAAGGTTGGTTATATCCCAGGTTAGCCAAACCCAGGTGATTTCAGCAGGAATTATGAAGGTTGGTTATATCCCAGGTTAGCCAAACCTGGATGATTTCCGAAGGAATGATGAAGGTGAGCCTGGAAAGAGCCAGAGAGGGAACAGCAAAGCCACCAGAGGAATGTGACAACAAACTCCAGAGAGCAAAGGCAGTGCCATGGAGGGGGAGGCTCGGGCACCTGTTGTGACAGCTGTGACTAAGCATACAATGACCAGATCAGGGTGAATAATGAGACAATCTGCTCATTTAAGAGTGGATATACAAACCCAGCAGGGACATGAAACTGTTTTGCTTTGTTTTACTGATAATGTGTTATTGGAGTCATGTCTCTGGCTGTGTCCTAGAGTGGGTTCAAAACAATTACTTACATAACACAGGATATATTTAAGTCAGGCAAAAGCAGGGAGGGAGAAATGTGTGTATCTCAATTTCTGGTTAAGAAGGAAAATGAAATTATGTTTTTCCCAATAGATTTATTGATTCCCCTTTTTCCAGCACGGGAATGTCCATCTCAAGGGCTGGATCCCCCTTGCAAAACTTGAACTGCAAAGTAATCAATGAACAAGACTAAGCCCTGTATCCTCCCCCTCCCCAGCTGCTGGTTTCTACCCTAACAACCATTAATTATTCTAATAGCAAACTCCTTAAAAATAACTCAATCAATGCATTATCCAGAAGTTGGAGCCCATCTATGGATGCCTCCAGCCTGGTCCATGGTGGCCAGACAATATTTGGTGCAAGCCCTGAAGTGCTTTTCTCTTGTAGTGCTCTGCTTTAGGATGGTCAAGGGTCCTATGGATCAACTTTGGGGTTAGTTTTGAGGTGGCAAATGTGCTGCTTTCACAAAATTTCATCAATAGGTGAAAGAAAATTGTGTTTGCTGCTCACAGAGCAGAGTAACATGCAAAAAAACAAAAGGAAAAATTAAACTCAAAAAGCAAAGAAACAGCAGAGTCCAGGGCAGCTGCCCATGCTGCAAACCTGATTCACAAGTGATGGCATTCCATGAAATAGTGACCACCCCTGCCTTAATTTCAAATTAAAACCATATTGAGAAACTTGGAATACAAAGACAAGATTTGTGGGATGTAAATACCTGGTGGGTGCAGCCAACCAGCACAAAACATCTTTGGAGGGAGCTCAGTCCCTGCTGGAGTCCCTGTGCCTACAGATCATCGTGTACAGGGAGTAATTACAGCACGGTTTGTCAACTAATTTGGTGGAGGGATGAATTCTTTATCTATTAATCAATGTAGGGAAGCATGAAGCACCTATAAAGCATTCATCTCACTTTAGCTTCTTGTTTACCTTTAATTAGAGTTGCTCTGATTTGATTGGGGAAAATGGAGGTACCTTGGAATAGAGAGGTGTCAGCTGGGGCATCTTGGACAGCACTTCCTGCTGTGGGATCCTCAGGGAAATGGGTCACCTAGTTTGGATTTTATTTCCAAAATGTGCACCAATAAATTGGTCACAGGGTAAGACCCCTAAATCAGAGGCAAATAAAAAGATACAGTGCCAGCACCTCACCAATGGGAAGGAAGTTTGCAGCAGTGTGAATTAATTCTTTTTTCATTTACATATGCTGTGGGTCACCCCTCTTTTCTCACTTTTCCCATTCCTTTATTGTTATATTTATGCACAAGGAGGTTATTTATTAGGAAAATTTCATTTCTTCACCTATTTCTTTATCTTGAAACAGAGTAAAACCAATTATTATTATTTTCTTTTACTTTTTCCCCCTTCTAAAATAGTTTACCTTTTCTTCCCAGAATTTCCAGGAGGATTATAAGTAAGGCTGTGACACCTATACAGAGTTATGGGATGTTTTATAACTGATGGGTTGTGTGCGATGCAGATAAATGCAACTGCAAGCATAGGAAGTCCCAGTGGGTCACTCACATTTCATTTCATTTTAGCTTGACTTTAAATCAGTGATATTTAATTTTTTTTTATAAGAGAACTCTTAAAAATGCTTTTGTAAAATGAAAAGTCCTGGTTAAGCCTTGGAGTCCTACACACCAGTGTGGAAAACTGCAGCTTCACTAAAAACCGTGCAGTAAATGTGCCATTCCTTGGTGCATGCTTATTATGGGTAAATATTGTTCTCTGGGTAGTGCCTGGAAATTGTAATTAATTTCAAATACTCCCTCTTTTTGTCCACGTATGCAGATTTCAAATCTGTGCCTGCGCCGGTTTTGACACCGTGCAATGAAGCATTCGAGCTCTCAGATGTCTGGCTCTTCCGAGTTGTGAAATGAGAAAACAAACGAACCCAGCCATTCCAGCCCTGTCAATCTCCTTCTCAGTGGACAGATGCCCTGGTGCCAGAAAAGCTTCATCCCATGATCCCACACCTCTTAGCAGTGCCAAAAAAAACCCCAGAGATCTACTGGATGCGAAAGCACGATGGTTCCTCACCCCAAAAAATGGGATTTATGGCAACACTGGAGCTCCTGGGTGAGGCTGTGTGGGGAATGTGTGCAGCCTCTTGTTCTGGCATTCCTGGTCTCCCAGATCATCCATCTGATCTGCTCCTGGAGCAAGGTGCCTCTGGACAGTGATGGTTTAACTGGAGAGGGTCCAGGTTTCTGGAATGAGCCCGGTACGTTGGTAGAGTTTGTGGATTGCATTGTTAATTAATTAAATTGTATTGTTAATTATGGTTTTAAATATTTTATTGGGTGCTTATCTGGTGGGAATGGGCTAAGCTTTCTGAGGAAAATGGAGAGTTTGGGTGTTAACGCAGACAGCTCTCTGAGCTGCCTATGGCCATGTCCCTTGAAGGCCATCACTGGGGCTCCCAGGTCAGGTGTCCTGTTGGGCACAGGATTTTTTGGAGGGGGATGAGGCTTCAGTCTGGTCTGTCCAAGCAGTCCAGGGAACATCTTGGTGGGCACAGTTCCAACAAAGCCCAGCCTGGTGCTGCCAAACCCCCCAAGATGCATAAAACCACCCTGGAGGTCTTACAAGGTGGGTTTAAAACCCTGCAGATCCCACTGCATTTATTCACCTAAATGCAGTAAAAAAAGACCCTGCAGATCCCACTGCTGAATTTATTGTACAGCAAACTGGCACTGCCTGAGCCAATGAGCTGCTTTGGTACAGACGAGATTTTCTTTTTGGCTAACGATTTGTTTTCAGTCTCAGTCACATGTGGCATCCCAAGAAGCTGCAGCATTCAGGGCCTTTTTAATGAATTCCTATCCTTGCATATTAGTGGGAATATTTCCACTGCAGCAAACACCATAAACAGTTTCCACACTGGGGTGTGTTATACTGCCACCAGAATTGGTTCTTCTGATGGTTCATTTCTTTTATGCTGAGAATTCAGGACCAATTCAGCTCGGTTTTATGCATCATTAGAGATTTACAATTACTTTGCTATAGTTTCTTTCGGGAAGCCTATCTCTCATGGTTAATGCTATGGGAGTCCTGTTGTGTAGAGGCTGCTATGAGCCACCTTATAGCAATAAAGCATTTGAGAAGGATTTGGAATTATGAGTGGCTAAATTCTCCATGCAGCGCCTGTAATGCTGTTATCCCTTGCTGAGCTTGGGTTGAAACCCTTTTTTTTCTTCTCTCCAAATTAGAAAAAAAGGAGTGCAGTTTCTTTGAGAGGTTTTGAATCATTTACATCTAATTTTTTGCTGTTGTTGTTGAACTGCTGCAGTCAGAAATGAGGAATTGTGCAAATTTCCATTTGGATTTCATGATCCTTAAAATACATTTAGGTTGTATTAGTATATAATGAAATAAGGCCTCATCATTGTTTTTTTAATCTCACTTTTAAAAAGACTAATCATTATTTGGGACTTTATTTTGGTTTTTTTTGGATTTTATGTGTGTTGCTAAAGCCTGTAAATTCCACAAGCTTTGTCCTTGCACAATAAGCAGGGGATCTGCATGTGTTATAATCCACATAACTCACATTTTACATAAATACACTATTGCACTGAAACAAACATGATATGCAGGGGGTAATACAGGCCTGATCTAAAGGCCATTAAAATCAATGAAAAGATTTCAAATTAACTTTTATAGCCTTTAGATCAGGCTCTAAATGGGCAAATTACAGTTATGGAGTTTCCCATTTACATACCTGTGTGCTGCATTTAATGTATTTTATGGAATTGAAATTACTTGGTCCTCTTTTTCATGCTTTTTTAGGCTAAGAATTTGCCAAGGGCATCAACAGCAGTTTTCCCAGGCTCCAGCACAAGGATTATGTAGTCAATCCACAAATGACTCAAATCTTTGAAGAGAAGGACATGGTTATCAGAGAGGCTTTGACGACAGCAAGGACGGGAGTGCTATCTGCCTTTTTCCATCAGAGATCCCCATTCCCTCTCATTAACATACCCAGGACATCAGCACAGCCATCGGCCCGAGGGAATCGCTTCCAACTTTTAAGGGAATATTCACAAGACCTCGCCCCTGCGTTGTCTCAGACAGATCAAACCAGATTTGCCTCGTGTAAGGTGAGAAGAAAGGCTGGGGCACAGCAGCATTAGGGGAGGCATTCAAAGGTTGCAGGGAATTTTCAAATCCATTGTTACATCTTGGTAATCTTTCTTCCTTTACAGGGTTCTTCAGTCCCACTGAAGATGTGATGTGATGTGATGTGATGTGAAAGCTGCTGCTGCTGTAAGTGGGGAGAGGAGAAGCCTCTACCTGCTCCCTGCCAGTGCCCTGCAATGAAAAATGCTTTTGGAGCAACACTGGAAATAAGCCATCAAAATATCTGATTAAACCTCTTAGGAAACTCTCACTAATCACCTTCTCTGCTCTTGATGGAATGTATTTATGCATTATAAATATACTTACTATGTGTGTGTGCTCCATAAATCACACCCAGCACTTGTATGTGATGTATAAGCACATTCTATAGAACACACACAAATACAGATGCCAAGCTCCCACAGAGTTCATCACTGGAAAGTGTTTGAAGGATCTGATCCTTAATATTTAATGAGCAAGATGCTATTTCCTTCCTCAGCTTTTATCTCTGGTTTGGCATAGTCATTAAATTTGTTGTTTCCTTGCAGGATTATATAATTTATGACCTAATTTTAGACTTTTGTGTAACCGCGTTGAGACACTCGTGGCGTATCCCGGTTTCTCCACACGGAGTGTTCCAGCACCAGGCACCAGCTCCAGCACGAATTCCGTGAGCTGCCTGTCAGCAAGGAGTCACAGGCATGAAAGGAAAACAGCCCAACAATATCCAGGCAGCATTATAAAATTAGTTTGTGGCGGGTTTTGCCCTGCAAAAAATATGATTTAGCGGCGTTTCCAAAGCTGTGTGCGGTGCTGGCAGGAATCCCCAGGTAAGACAGGCAGCACACAGCAACTCTTATTGCTGAAAATATTTAATTCTTGTGACTTTCAGGCTGCTCTGGGACAGCAGTGCAGGGAGGGGTGTTGGAGGTGGGGAAGGATGACACTCAGAGCTCCTCAGCCTCTGGAATTTCCTCCCAGCACCAGCCTGGCTAATGGGCTGATTTTTTTGCTGCACAAGGTGCTGCTGGATAACTCCAAATGAATTATTCTAAAGCTGCAGCCACGTTTTTTTTGGTGCTTTCTGTGTGTCCAGAGTAATTGAGAGATGCAGTAAATAGTGCCATGAGCTTCAGTTATTCTGTCAATTTAACTATATCGTTGGGACCAATCTTTCATCAAATCTAATGTATTGGCTGTTGCATTAATGCACTTTGAGAGCATTTTATCCTGGTGTTCCATAGGGAAGTGGCTTGTGGCTGAGGAAGGATTTGATGTTTCCTTTGTGCCTACAGGGCTGTTTGGAGGAGTTTTCCTCTTTTTCCACCTTATCCTGAATATCCAGAATTGGGGTGCTCAGATCAGCAGCAGGGACACAAGGGACACCTCTCTAACACAACTTTGTGTACAGGGTGAGGAAGGAAAAAGAATCCTCATGGAAAGGGGACATTAATTCTTGGATTAAACAAAATTGGAGAGTTTGTCTCCTTGGCTTTAATGGAGCAGTTCCAGGAAAGCAGCAGAGAACAAAGTGTTTTCAGTATCACATAATTCAACAGTAAAATCATAATTCCAATTACCACTGCAGGCACTTCTGGCCTTGGGAAACCTATGCTAGTATTTATTATTATATGATTGACCTCTGATTTCTTCATCATTTACATTAGCAACCCTGATATTCTTAGTAACATCCTTTAAATCATAGAAGCAGGTGTCAACAGTGCACGATGAAGTCACATCCTGCAGATTTTTTATTTACTTAGACAGTCTTTTCCTGGTTAAATAACATTGTGAGATGCAGAATCTCACCTCCACGGGGCCTCTAGGGGTGTATATAATAATGGAATGCATTTTCTATAATCTCACAAAATGAGTCAATCCTATCAGAGGTCCAAACAGTTTTACAAAGTCAGTATTTCACTCCCATCACTGCCTGACATCATCTTCCTCACAGCACAAGAAAATATTTACTCGGCACTTTGACATGAATTGTCACAAAGCCTTTGGAATGGAAACTAAAAAGTGAGAATTAAAATGGAATAACTTGGCTTAATGAATTTAGCCTATTTTCTGTGTGCTGGATTTAGATGTCAGATGATTTCTTATAATGTCTGGGATGGACATGGACATCTCCAGTCCCTGATCTTCAGTGAGGTGCCTACACACGGATCACAGAGCTGCCCAGAATACCCAAAGCTGGAAGCTGATCCTCTTCTCCATCACCTGAATATTTTCTTTGCATAAGTGAGCATTTCTCTGGGTGAATTAAGACACTGCATTAATTTTCCAGGTGCAGGTGAGGTACCAAGGGCTGCCTGGGGCTTCTCACTGCCTTCAGCACAGTTGATAAAATTGTATTTATCCACAAAGAGACTGAATTTTTCTTTTCAGATTGTTCTGGGGAAGAGTCAAAAAGTTTAAATTCTCTGTCTCTCATATCCACTGCTCATCTTCCTGCTGCTGTTCACTTCCAGAGAGCATGGCCAGGGGCTTTTCAGCATCTCCTCGGGAAATGTTCCCCATCTGTGGAGCTGGGGAAAGAGGCACCCACCTGGAGAGGGCTGTCCTTGATCATCCTTGTCCCTCATCCATCATTTTTTTACTGAAATTAGATCCCTCTGAACCTACATTGCCTTAAAGGGTTTACCTGGCTCAGCAGGTGACAGGATTTGGCATGTTCCAGACAGATTTTGCATCATTTGGGACAAATCTTTAAAGTTTGTCAGCTTTATCCAGTTGTCAGGCAGGTGAGTCCTGTTCCCCTCTCTGGACGCGCATCCCTAAAATCACCCTTTGATTTCTGGCTGTCAGTGATGGAGCAGGGTCAGAGCAGCCCCAGATCCTGTTCCTGAGGGCTGCCAGTGTGCAATAACCACCGGCAGCCCCTGCAATGACACAGCCGGGCACCAAACACCTGCAGGGGAGCTCCTCGGGCCAAATTCCCCCCGGCTCCAATCAGGAATTTTCCGGAGCTGGGAGCGCTCAGGGCGATCCCGCTCCTGGCTCAAGAGGCTCTTCTAATCGACTGCTGAGAGACTTATTAGCAATGTAAAAAGGAATCGCGAGCAAGGAAAGTATTCTTCCTGCCTGAAATGCGCTTTGTGAAATTAGTTTTGCTGACAGGAGTAATTGGGTTAAACTCCTCCCGGCTGTGGGTGCTATTTGTTGCCCCTTATCTTACCCGAGCAAAGGGTACCAAACTCTTTGAACTTTGTAAATAATTGTTTCCAAAGTGGTGGATTTTTTTCTCTCTCTATAAATTCTGTAGAGAAAAGCTGGTTTCTAATCCTCTCTCTGCCAATGCTTTTACAGCCTTTTCCCACTCTTGATTTCTTTCCCCTCCTTAGATTTGAATATTTCTTAGATATTATTGAAATCTCTTTTAAGGGGGAGTGCAGAGCTTTTTGCTCAGATTGGGAAAATCATTCCTAGAGCTTTAAGAAACTGCAGAGAGATGAAAAAAAATAAAATAGAAGAACTTTATTGAGCACTGTGGCAGATGTTGGGCTGTGGTGTGATGTGTGTCCAGTGCAGGCTCCTGGATTCAGTCTGGATTTTTCTCACTCCAGATTCCTGAAGAGTGAAGGGGTTGGACATTTCACTCCTTCTGAGCTGAACCAGACCTGGGATTTGCTCCTCCCTCCCCAGCCCCACCATGACATTGCTGTGTCCCTTCTGTGCTGAGGAGAGGGGCGTCTTTTTCTTGCAAACACAATTTTTTCTCAATTTTATTTCACTTTTGCATCCACAGTAACAAACATTAATGCAGAAACAGGACAGAAACTGTCCCAGAGTGTGCACAAAGTGTGCAGTGCCAGAGCCTGCAGGAAACCTATAAACCTGCAAAAACCCAGGCCAACCCAAGGAGGTGGGAAAACTGAAATGCTGGAAAAGCAAGACATTGTTTTCTCCATCATCCTGGAAAGTTGGATGTGAATTCTTTTAGTTATCTGATTAAGACACAAATAATGAGAAATACCAATGACAGATTCAGAAGCCAGCCAGGGACAAATGTTTCACCCAGGCTCCCTACAAAAATCAACCTTTCTGCTCATCTAAAACAACATCTATTAGTGGGTTTATGCTGTTCTTGGGTTCTCCAGCATGGGGAAAGTAATCCCTGAGAAGCCCAGCTGGGACATTTCCTTCTTGTCTTCAAGCAGAGACTCAGCTCTTCCTTCATGTCAGGGGGCTCCCACAAAGACTGATCTTCCCTCCTTCTCCTTCAGAGCCAGGGGTTTCGGGTCTTGGATGCCACCAGCAAATCTCCAGCTGCTTGATGATGGTCTATTCCCTTCTCCAGCTGGAGCAGGAAGGAATTTAAAATTTAGAATCATGGAATCATTCAGGTTGGGAAAAAACTTTAAGGTCATCGAGTCCAGTTGTCAACGCAGCAGCACCCCCATGTTCACCACTACACCAAGTCCCCAGGTGCCACATCCACAGGTTTGCTGAGCACTTGCAGGGCTGGTGAATCCACCACTGCCTTGGGTAGCCCATTCCAATGCTTTACACCCTTTCCATGAAGAAATATTCTCTAAAATCCAACCTGAGCCTCCTCTGGCCCAGCCTGAGGCCTTTTCCTCTCCTCCTGTCCCTGTTCCCTGGGAGCAGAGCCTCCCCTGGCTGTGCCCTCCTGTCAGGAGCTGTGCAGAGCCACAAGGTCCTCCCTGAGCCTCCTTTGCTCCAGGATGAGCCCCTTCCCAGCTCCCCCAGCCCCTCCTGGTGCTCCAGACCCTTCCCAGCTCCATTCCCATCCTTGGACTCACTCCAGCCCCTCAAGTTCTCTCCTGCAGCAAGTGGCCCAACACCCACCACAGCATCTGAGGAGGGGCTGGAATTTTTTCCCCTGAAAAAAATAAACAAAAACCCAAGAAACCAAGTAAATAAATCTCTGATTTTTGCAGAGGCACCTTCCAGCAGAGCCCATGTGGGAATGCTGGCATTCAGTGCCATCCCTCCCACAGGAGCGCTCCAGCTCTCCCTGCATCACTTTGGTTTGTGCAGCTCTGAAATAGTTTTCCTTGTTCTGCAGCTCCTGTAAAGCCAGAAGAGCTCTCTCTGTATTTGTTTCCAGGATGCCTTTTTCTCCTCTGCTTACAACTATAAAAGCAGCTTTTCATGCTCCAAATCAGAGATAAATGGGAATTGCTGCTGAAGAAATAAAACACAAGGCTAATCAAACTGTGGCTTGGGAGGCAGCCTTCAGCCAGTGCACTTTTGAGAGTTATTTTTAGACTCATTTTTATTTTGTCACTCCATATGGGAAGTCAAACCCATATGGTTTGGGAGAATGGAAGGTTGTGCTTTTATAGTGATCTCACAAACTATCCCAGCTCAGCTTTGTCCTTAAACTCGTGCTCAAATCCAATTGTCTGAGGTGGGACTGGAGGTTGTACCAGCACAATTCCCTCCTGAGGTGTAAAACTATTCTACATCTGTTAAACCAGCCTCCAGTTAACTCAGCTCTTCTTAGTTACAACTTTTCTCATTCTTACGTCTTCCTTTTTTCCTTTTTAATCTCTTCATCTCTGCTCCAATGTTCTGAAGCCCTGCTGGATGTGTTTGGTCCAGTTCCAGCCAGGATGCAAAGCTGAGCATCCACAGCCATCACTCTCCTGCTCTTCACAGTGGATTTTCCTGTCTTCCAAATATCCAGATTTCATTAATAATGAAAATTTTGAGGAATAGGACTTCATTCTGTCCACAACACATTGGCAAATTCTGAGTATGCTGATGGAGTAATAATTGGCTAGAAAAGGTGTTTTCCTTCTGTCACCCTAAATATATAAAATTAGAAATGTATCCTCAGTGTTCATCCACCAGAATATCCACTTTATTAAGTGTTAAAAGTTTTTCATGATACTGAACCAAAACTTATGTGTCTTTTAGGGATTTTTTGTGGCATGGTTAAAAATATTGACAGGAAGTTTCTAATGTGGTAAATTTCAAAGGATCATTTTATGAGTTTTTCAATTGTGATCCTGGAGTTTCTTCCCTTTCCAGTTTTTCAAAAGGTGGAATTAAACAAACCCAAAGGACAGGAAAATGCAGCTGGATGCTTTTATAGGTAAAATAGTGAGAAGGGGCTCAGAAATGTGGGTGATTTGGTTTAGTGGATGTGGTGGAATTGGGTCAAAGATTGGAATGGACAATCTTGGAAGTCTTTTCCAAACTTAGTGATTTTGTGATTGTGTTGTGTGAATTACAGAGGCTCAGGGTAGCAAATACCCCATGGAGCTGCTCTGACTTAGGGAAAAGTCCTTTTCTATGTTAATTTTGATTCCAGAATTGTATTTAACCTCAGTATAGAAGCAGAGCTAAGGGAAGAGCAGGGCATTAACACTTAATGTTTGATGCCTTTTTTTTCCTTAGGAAACAATTCTTCCCTTTTTGAGGGGATAAAGTGCAATGGGAATAGAACTGCTCAGAGAAGAATTCCTTGTGGCAGAAGGATGGGCAGCATGGAGATTTCTGAGAAGGTTTGGAAGTCACTTCCATCAAGTAGAAGGAATGTTATGCTAAAACCGTTCATCAAAGCTGAGACCTCACAGATTATTTTGTTGGAAAGTCAAGAAAACAACAACTGATTTTTTTCCCCCAGGGCAGAGATTTTGTGTTAGAAGAGAAAATAAGAAAACAACCAGACCCCAAAAGAGAGGAAAACGGAAAACCTGAGATTAGAGAAGGGAAAAGGTATCAAAAGAAATTTGATGAGGCCCTAATTGTGTCCAAAATCCATGATTGTTTTGAAATCCAAGGAACTACTGTTGCATTATCTGTTCAGAGGGGCTCTATAGTCAGAAAATTCTCATCTCTTGTATCCCACTTTCAAGAGTTCAGTCTATTCCATTCTGGAATTCCAAAAGACTGGGAAAACACCTGGATTTACGGTGCTTGGGACTATTGGGATTAGATGCAAGCAGCTGGATTTTCCCAGGAATGTTATTCTGGAATTTTTGAGTAACACAAGTTCTGGCACAGTGCTGGGGGTGGTGTGGGTACAGAAGCACTGTCAGGTGGACTTGAACCTGGAAAGATTCCTTGTCACATAACTGATCCCAAATTTCACTTGGGATTTTTTTACCAAGTTTCCATTCCCATTGCAAATATATGGATAACATGTTTAGGCACTATCCTTAAAAAGTAAAGAAATTATTTCTTTAAGAGATGGGTGATCTGTAGAAGACATTTGTGTAATTTTGCATTCTAAATGTGATTTATATTTATAAATAAATTTGCATAAAATCTCCAGCTCTCAATGTCATAGTTCTAGTCTATCTTTAATTCAGATGCTCAAAAAATGTAAATTGTTTTTACAGCTAAATAAAAGCCATACAAAGCTTCCAGGAGAGAATAATGAGATACACATTGTGCCATGCAGCCATGATAAATCAAGCAGCACCATGGTTACAGCCAAAGTGGGAGGCCACCAGAAACCAAGGAATATCAGCACATAGAGATTCCTCTGGTTTTGCAGAGTAATCTGAACTGAGGGAAACTCATGACACATGTTGGTAAGGGAAAATGTTTACCTGTAAGACAAACAGGCCCCTAAAATGAGGAGGAACACTTGGTTTAAATGGCAGGAGTTTATTATATTTATTATATAATTTATACCATATATTTATCAGCCATATTTGGACCAGGCTCTGCATATATGCAAATTAAAGATACCAGAATTCTTGTAACACAGGGGGGTTTGCCAGTGAAATACAGGCTTATAAAATATGGTTTGTCCATGATGATGGACCCAGGGAGGAGGGGTGTTGGGATCCCTCAGTCATTGGGATCCTTAGTCAGTAAAGGGCTCCAAATGCTGCAGATCTGGATTAACCAACAGAATAAAAACTGGCTCCCCCGCATCATCAATTAACTCAAACATGAGGAGATAATTATCCCAAATGAGGGTGTGAAAAACCTATGGGATGGGAGTCATAGAAGGGTAAATAAAAGGTCAGAGAAGGCTCAGCCTCCTTTCCTGATGAAGAGGCTCAAAGAATAACTTACCTGGATTTTCAAGAGGACAAGCCTTGCATTCTGTGACTTGCTGTGGCTGATGCAGGTAGGTCTCATCATTCTCTGGTTTTATCTCATCTCTGGCTATGTCTCCCAGTAAAAGTGGGATTTTTTTGGCTGTTTGTTTGCTGCTGGAAATGTCTAAATCCTCCCTGCTCTTCAAAGGTTGTGTAAAATGCACTAAAGCCAATTTTCACAGCACTGCTGACTTGTTTGCTGAGTTATGCTGGTCTTGCTTTAATTAAGCTCAATATTAAGGTCAAGCAGGGTCAGTATTAAGGTCAAACACTCCAAGAGTCACTTGATGATTCTGCAGGTCTTTTCCAAGCCTGATGATTCCAGGTTTCCAGGAGCTGGTGGCTGCTCCAAGGCCCTTTGCAGGAGGAAGGGTACAGAGGAGCAGGAGTGATGAAGGAATGTGTCCAGTGTGTCTGGATGAGTGACCACAGGGAATTCTTGGAGGAGGCAGCTGTGACAGGCTGTCCTGTAGAGCCCAAATTTTGCAGAATATTTGTTCTAGAGCTGCCACTTTCCAATTTCATTTTGTGGCCAAGTGTGTGCAGCAAACCTGGGTGTGTTGGAACCTGCTGCTTTTCCCTTGGGGTTTCCTCCTCCACACAAAAAAAGAAGCACTGGTTTTGTGCTAAATTGTAAGCTGGCACCAGCCAGGCCCCTGTGGGATTCTGAGCCCCTCGCTGAGGAGGTGCTGAGCTGCGTGAGCCCCGTGAGCCCTCAGCATCCTGCAGGAGAGATCCCTGTGGATCCCTCCCAGGCACGTGGGCAGTGAATGGGGACAGCCCAAAACCCCTCAAAAGCAGAGCTTTGTTCTGCTGAATTGGGCAGTGAATGCTCTGGGCATCCCAGAGAGCCTGGCCAGCCCTGTTGACTCCTAAGGGCCACTCGTGTGCCTTAATTGAGGCAGTGCCTGAATGCTTTAACTGGGTGGGATCAGCACAAACATCCCTGAATGTCAAGCTCTCTTCTGTGTTCTCTCTTCTGTGTCTGTTTTCTAAAGCTAATGACCACTAGGCATTAAAAACCCGGTTCTGGGCTTTGGAGATGCTGAAGCATCTTGTTTCCTATTTGTGAAAGTGAATGCCTTCACCTTAAAATAAAATGTCTTTACTTCCATGACGTTGGAGCATAGGAAAACAGAGTGCTGTACACTTAGTGCCCTCAGAAGTTTTCAGCTATATTAAAATGCCCATAACTTTAAGAAAAAAGAACAAAATAATGCTGCTTAGAAATACTTAAAAACAAAAAATCACCCTCAGCAGACAGCTCTTATGACAAGGCTCTGCCCAGAGTGAATTTTTATGCTTGAGTTATAAACCCTTGAAAAATGGGGATCCTAATACAAAAGCTGACACAGCTTTAACTAAAGCAGCTCTAGTAAGTGCTGCTATAATTATTTGCTCATTAATTACAAATTTTGCAAGACATGAGAGTAACACAAATTGGAAAATAGGAATAATTATCAGTAATAACGCCACAGAAGCTGGACACATTGAACGTATCTTCCTCTTTAAATTTAATAATAGCAAGACAGCTAGAAAACTAATAAGAAATACATAATTGAAAATTAACCTTGCAAATCTGCTGTTAATAAACCATGGTACTCTTGCACTACAATAATTTTACACAGCCCTTAATTTGCATTTGAAGTGTTATTCCAGGTAATACTTTGTGCCTTCACAACAATTAATGTGTCTTTGAATTAAAACAAAAACGCCAGGGTTGGGTTTGGGATAGCTGTGGAGGAGGGAATGGTTTATCCTGTGATTTTTAGCAGCTCAGGGCTGGGATGGCTGGAAATCAAATGTACAATGGGGATTTTTGTGCTGGGATGCCTCAATGCCGTTTTGTTGTTGTTGAATCCAGGCATTGTGGTGCTCTGTGCTTTCATCCCCCCCTTGTGTAATCCACCAGTTGGGATCACTTGCACTTTCTCATCCTCCGAGGTGTGAGACTTGATTGCTTGGGGATGATTTAAACATCCAGGGGGAGTGTGTGGTCCTTGAGCTCCCCTGCTGCAGCTCAGGCTCTCGAGTGGATTTCATGGATCTGATGGGGGCAGTGCTGGAGGCACTGGGGTTTGTGGGCAGGCAAAGCCAGTGCAGCCCCTGGCTCAACGAAAGGAGCTGCTGGCACCTCGTGCCTGAGGTTTTCTCCCCACTCAAAGGGAAGTGGCACTTCCTTCTGAATGTTTTGTATCTGTTAGCAATTGACAAAAGCCTCCAAAAAAATCTTAAATCAATCAATTTGCATGTAAAGATGAAGAGAATTGTTTACTCAAAACGCAGACTGAGTCAACTGCTCTTGCTAAGTATCTCCCACTCACAAAATAAACCTGATATATATCTCTGCCTGCACAGAAAACTCGGAGCCAAGAAGTGTTTAATAATTTTGGAACTCATATCTAGCGAGCTCTGAGTGCTCAGCTGAAAGAAAGGACAGATTCTAGGAAAAAAATCATGCCTGACAGCAGACTCGTATTATATTGCAATACTAATGGTAGTGGAAGTATATCCAGGCATTCAAATTGTGTATGACCAAGCAGCTTTCAAAAAAATAAAATAAAAATAGAAAAAATAACCCAGAGACCTCCCCTCCAGTGTTTGGCATCAGAGAGGAGGAACATTGTACACAAACAATTGGGTTAAGAGTGTGCACTCCAAACAGGGTTTCTGCACAATTCCAAACTCCATCAAGGGCTGCATGTAAAATGTTGGCTTCTTTGTGCAAACCCACAAATCCTGGGGAAAAGGCCACGTGGGGTCAGCAATTCAGCTGTTTGCCTGCTCACTTTATGTAAGAGGTTAGCAGCAGTGTGCTTTTTGTCCCAAGCCAGCAATAGCAGGAACAGCTTGGTTCTGAGAGGGCTGGGGCTCCCCTCGTAGTGCTGGAGAAGGGGTCCTGAAATAAACCTTGATGGGGATAGCCTTGGGTTTGACCTCTTCTGCATTTATCTGGCTGTGTGTGTTCGACTGCCCTCGCTCCCCTCAGCCTGTAAAGCTCAGGCACCACCAGCACAGGTACTTTGACTTTGTTTCAATGTGTTTCAGGGGTTTTCAAACACATGGCAATGTGGGAAAATAAGGAATTTTGGGTGCTCAAGCTCTTCCCCCAGAGGAGCTGGAGAGGCTGGATGGAAAGCAAACCTTTTATCTGCTCACAGCCTCTGGGTGAAATCCCAGCAGCATCCCAGGTCTCTGTGGCTTCAGCCTAAGGAGGGAAGGATTTCTCCTTCCAAATACCTTTGGAATTGGGTACAGAGTAAAAAAATAGAAAAATGAAAAATTTCTTTACAGACTCTTCTGCTTTGGGACAAAGCTCTTTGAGCAGTGGAGTAGAGCTTGTTTTAGGGGTGTGAGCCCTGGCACAGGGTGCCCAGAGAAGCTGTGGCTGCCCCTGGATCCCTGGAGGTGTCCAAGGCCAGGTTGGACAGGGCTGGGAGCGCCCTGGGACAGTGGCAGGTGTCCCTGCCATGGCAGGGGTGGATTAGTTGGTATTTAAGATTCCTTCCAACCCAAACCATTCTCTGATTCCATAATTTGTGTGGATTCAGTGTCACCAAGCTTGAACTTGCTGATGTGAACGAGGTTTCTGTTGATCCATCAGGATTTGGGAATGGAAGAGAGCAAGGATGGGAGTCCTCAGCCTAACCCTGGTCAGGGTTTGACCCCTACATTTGTGAATGTAAGAACTGATGGTAAGAGCTGACATGGGGAGGGCTGTGGAAGGCTGGGTGGATAAACCTGCACTTCCAGTGTGTCTGTAGGTCCTTCTGAGAGTTCCATGCAAGCCCAGAGGGAGTTTTGGGGCTGTGCTGGACTTGGTTTGGGATTTCAGAATCTCAGCCACCCCATGGCACCTCTTGGGCAGAGACAGCCTTGAGATGAAGGGGAGCAGGGAATGGGCAGCCACAGAGCCAGCCTTGGGGAAAAGGAGATGGAAAACACCCTCTCCTTCTGAAAACCAGCATGCAGGGGGAGAAATGAGCCTCTACTGCAGCTCCTGAGGCTCCTCTGCCAGTGGATCCCAATCAGTATTCTGTTCATCCCTGCTTTCTCACGGAAAGACATAAAGGAGCAGCATAGCCAAAAGGAAGCTATTTTTAGAAGATGGAGAGATGATTTCTTTCCCCCCCCCAAACCATTCTGCTGTTATTTATGTTGCGTGGTTCTTGAGTTATTTATTTCAGTGGGAGTT